AATGATTGGATGGTGAGAAATTTGATTCTAAGGTTTACCAGTGTGGGTGGAAGAGATAATTTTCAGTTGGGATGGTGTCGTCGGGCCTATGTAAATCGGGGTGAAGTGGGATCACCCGCGAGTGTATGTATGGTAGTTCGCTTGGTGATTTGATGATCTCAGAATGGTTCTAGACACGTTCGAGGATGAACGTTTGTTTAAGAGGGGGAGGATGTAATGACCCGACCGGTCGTTTTGAGATTTAGCGTTTCGTTCGGTGGCTTTAGGTCTCGAGTAGCTTCGTATTATATGTTATAGCTTGCATGTGTGACCGAGTTTGGTGTTCGGATGATTCAAGGCCAATTTGGAGAAGGATTATTATTTTTGAAGCTTAAGCGGTAAGAGTTGACCGAAATTTGACTTTTGTGTAGACGAATCCGAAATGGAATTTTGATGATTCCAAGTATGGTGAATTTGGACTTAGGCGTGCGTCCGGATTTCGAGGTCCGTAGGGTAATTTGAAGTATTTCGGCGAAAATTGGAAAATTGAAATTTTGGAAGGTTGAGAGGTTTGGCCGAGAGTTGAATTTGGTGATATCGGGGTCGGAATGCGATTCCGAGAGTTGGATTAGATCTGTTATATTATTTGGAACTTGCATGCAAAATTTGGCATCATTCCGGGTTGATTTGATATGTTTTGGCGCGAGTTTTAGTAGTTAGAAGATTTGGAAATTTATAAGTTCGATTAGTGGTACGATTCGTAGTTTCGACATTATTTGATGTGATTTGAGGTCTCGATCAAGTCCGCGTTATGTTATGGAACTTGTTGGCATGATTCGATGGGGTCCTGAAGGCCTCGGGTGTGTTTCGGATGGGCTACGAGCCATTTCTTCAGTCTTTTGAGTTGTTGGTTTCTGGTGTTACTGTTGCTCTACGCAATCGCGAAGATGAAGACGCGATCGCATAAGGGTTCTTGGAGCTCAGGGATTTTGTTCATCGCGAACGTGATCGTGGTCACGTGTTCGCGAAGCTTATGCAGTCATATGTCCGCGTTCACAGTTGTCACTCCGTGTTCGTGTAGTGGGGTTGGGCGATGATGGTCATTTCTTCATCGCGTTCGCGAGTCGCTTTGTGCATTCGCGTAGTTTGTTTTCTTTATTCATCGCGTTCGCGATGTATTTGACGCGAACGTGAAGCATTATTTGTGATGGGCAACATTTAGTTCTTCGCAATCGCGAGGAATGTTCCGCGAAAGTGTAAGAGGAATTTATAGGATAGATTATAAGAACTCTATTATGAGGGTTTGACTATTTTTATCACATTTTGAGTTGTAGACCTCAGATTTGAACGATGTTTCGTGAGTTTTTCAATCAAATCTTTGGGGTAAGTGTTCTTTACTCGGAATTGATTATACTTCATGATTCTATCTTTATTTTTATTATTAAATTACTGTTTTGAGTTAAGGAAAAATGGAAATTTCTGAAGAAATCTTTCAAAATGTAAAATGAGGATTTGAAGGGCGATTCAATATCGGAATTTGATAATTTTTGTATGGTTGAACTCGTCATCGAATGGGTATTCGGGTTTTACAAATTTTATCGGGTTCCGATGTGCGGGCTCGGAGTTGATTTTTGGGTTGACTTTTTAGTTTTTGTTAAAGATTGAAACTTTATTATCCGCAATTATTTTCTATGAGTTTTATTTATGAATTGATGTTACTTTGGCTAGATTTGAGTCGTCCGGAGGCTGTTTCACTGGAGAAGGTCATTTTAGAGTATCAGTCTAGCTTATTTGAGGTAAGTATCTTTCCTAACTTTGTGTGTGGGGGGGAGACTTCCCCATAGGANGGGGGGGGGGGGACTACCCCTTAGGATTCGAGTCATTTGTGCTAATTGTGTCATGTGAAGGTCGTGTACGCGAGGTGACGAGTACGTGTCTGGGCTTATTTGTGAAAATTTGACCGTTTAGGGCTCTTAGATTCTTATGTCCATTTAATATAAAGTTTTTTTGTCATGTTAAATTTCTCATTTACTGAATCCACCCTTACATGTCTTATTTGAAATTAATTGCTTCATGTTCTACCCTTATTGCTGATGAAGCTCTCATATGCCTTAACTGAAGTTGTTGCATCTTTTATTGCCATGATATACTTTTTGAAATTGTTTATCCTTAATAGAAGTTATCATTATCTTTTCCGTAATTGCCTATCATTAGTTCAAGTTATTATTATCTTACCCATAATTTGCTTATCCTTAATTGAATTTGTTGTATCTTTTCCGTAATTTCTCAACCTTAAACGATATTTTTGTTATCCCTTATCATTGTTGACTTATCCTTATTTAGAACCATTGATTCATGTTATCCCTCTTATTGTTGAATTTTACTTTTGTGGAATCATTACTACACATTATCTCCTCCTTGTTGAGCAATTCTTGTTTAGACCATTATTCCTTGTTGTGTCTTTCTTTGTGAGCTCGTTCTTCCATTCCTTTGTGTTTTGAAGTTCATGAGTTGATTTACTTGTCGTATTGTTGTTGTTGTTGTTGTTGTTGTTGTTGTTGTTGTTGTTGTTGTATTTAGTATTATTGAGCCGAGGGCTATGCGTTGTTGTTGTTGTTGTTGTTGTTGTTGTTGTTGTTGTTGTTGTTGTTGTTGTTGTTGTTGTTGTTGTTGTTGTTGTTGTTGTTGTTGTATTTAGTGTTATTGAGCCGAGGGCTATGCGTGGTTGTGATATTGAATCTGTTTTAAGGAAATATTGTGGCATATGGGCATATATTGTGAAAGTCATTTTGTTAAGTTTGTTATGTTTTGGCATACATGTTATTGTTGAGATAATTGTTATGTTGTTTGCATGAGGTTTTTGTCGTGTTGTTGTTATTATGTTTGCACGAGGTTTCTGTCGTTCTGTTGTTATCGTGTTGCACGAGGTTTTTGCTATGTTGTTGTTATTATTGATACTTATACGGTGGTATAAGGTCTGTGTGTTAAAACGCATACGGTGAGATAAGGTGGGCTTGAAACATATGGCTAGTAGGGGGACTACTAAAAGCCATGTGGCGAGATAAGGTAGGCTAAAACGCAGAATGCTATTTCGGAAAAAATAATTTTCAAAAATTAAATGTAAAGGCTCCCGCGGTGATATAAGAAAAGTTTGCGATTCATTTTATGATTTGAGACTACGAGGCGGTACCTCGGTAGGGCTATTATTGTTAATTCCCCATTCTTTTGTACTTGTCATTGATTGTTGTATTCTTAGCATACTATTAATTGTCTTCCTCCGTGTTACACTATTTGCTTAGTTCTATGTAGTTAATCTTGTTGTGCTAGTCGTTGCTTCAACTTCATTGATGCCTTTATTACACTGTATATTTCGTGGTGATCATTTCTTATGTGACATTCATTGTCTCTACTCTTATTTGTTGACTTGAATTGTGGTAGAACACTTGCACAAGCATACACGTAATTAAATCACCCATATCGGTTTTAGAAGATTAATCCTAATGTTATTGACCATTATACATACTCTTGTCTACTTGCCTTTTGTGTGAGGATTGTTTTATTGGCACGTGAGTCGTCTGTGCGGTTATGAGTTGTAATGTGAGTACAAGATGCCAAGTGATTAGGGTTCATGAATTGGGACCCGCGAGCTGTGATTTTGAGGTTCGGTACCTCGTGAAAATGTCTGAACAGATCTGGTGTGAAAGCGATTGTTCTTATTGAGTTGTTGTTGGTTTTCCTTTATTTGGTTTCACCGGACTTAGACTGTAATCAGCTTACTCTACATCATTATTACGTAATTGCTTCTTGTTGAACATTGTTGTTACTAGTGCATCATTGCAAGTATTGTTTTGTATTCCTTATCCTGCTTAGCTTTATATTAATATTGTTTCTCTATTAGTTCACTTTTACACTTGTTCAGGTTGTTTCTGGTAGGTGTCTTGACTATCCCTCGTCACAACTCCACCGAGGTTAGTCTTGATACTTATTGGGTACCGATATAGTATACTCATACTATGCTTCTGCACACTTTAGACGAAAAAAAAGTTTGGCCAAACAAGCTATCATTCGTTGTCCAATAAAAGAGGTCATCTCCACAAAACTCAAAATTATTCACACACGAAAAATGAAAACGAAGAAATAAAAGGAAACTTATTTATAATTTTTAATTAGAACTTTACTAATTCATGATTTTTTTAGATGATGGATCCTGAATTTCCCTGGATCACTGCTTTTGGCGTTCCTTATTTTCTTCGATACGAGGGTCGATATTATTAGTTTAAACGAGTTCTACATCAGTGGGAACTAGAATCCTGTCTTTGATCTGCCCAACTATTGGCTGATGATCTGTCCCGCAGTCCCCAAAGTTATACTAGGATTTGTTTTTTAATAATAGGAATTGGTTTGATCATACATGATGTAATGGCTTAGGTAAGAGTCGATATATTCCGATTAACTATTGACTAAACGTTTTACTAAGATTTAAATTATATACACAAGAAGTATAAACGATTACTAACTAGCTAATTGCGGTAGCGAGTTATTAGTATATTCAATTACCAGATTACTAACTAATACTATTAATTAAAAAAAGCTACTTATAATTATCTAATATATAACTGATCTGATTGTAGAAATATTTTTTACTATCGTGCATTTACGCAACTTAAGGATAAGATATGCGTAAGCATTATCCTCCTTAGACCTCACTTGTTTCTGTCGTTGGCATAGGCGGATGTAGCTCACAAGCTAGGGGTTCAATCGAACTATAAATTTAATATGTGACTTAGATATATATGTAAAAAAGATCATCAAAATTTCAATAAATAATACATTTTGAATCCATAATTTTTAATATGCAACGGGTTCAATGCTAAAAACATAAAAATAAAAATAAAAGATGAACCGGTCAAATTAAATTTTTGGATCCGTCGTTGTTGGTGCATAGTCCAAACAAGTTGACACATGGAATCTGAATATTGTTAAGGGAATGGAGGTTCATTTCATAAGGCTAGCTTTATAAATAGTCACACCAAGACCAATTACTCTCTAAAGTCGCTTCTTTTCTTCCTTGCTTCTTCACTATCTATCCACTTCCATCTCAACATCAACAGCTATTACAAGAAAGGCAGACAAAAAGGAACTAAAAAAGAAAGAAAGAATTAAAGAGAGGAAAAGGGTTATGAAAAACAGTATGATTCACCAGCTTGATGATCAAATGGTACTGATCTCTCAGTACTATCCTGATATATACACTCAACTGGTATCAGAACCAGGTTAGTAGGAAATCTTTTACTGTATCTTTGTATTACCAAGTCTCAAGCCACCAAAAGGGATGTACTTTTGCCTGTCTTATACTGTATCTTTGTATTACCAAGTTTCTAAAAATAATTGTTTTAGATTATTTGTGCTTTTTGAAATACAAGACTAAATTAATTACATTTTTTCCTATTTTACTTTTGATATTAATTGTTCTTGAAGATCACAAATACCTCACTTATGATTAAATATTAAATGAAAAGAGATTATATCGTCATAAATAAGGGTAAAACAGTCAAAAATCTTTCTAATCTAATACTCCTTTTGTTTCACTTTATGTGAACTTATTTTTTTTTTGTCCGTTTCAAAAAGAATGAGTCATTTCTAAATTTGATAATAATTTAGCTTCAATTTACGATTCTAATCTTAATGAGAAACTTTTATAACCACGCAAATACTTTGGGCCTTTTTGACTTGTTTAGGACCACAAATTCCAAAAGTCTTCATTTTTTCTTAAACACCGTGCCCAGTCAAACATGTTCACATAAATTGAAACGAAGAAAATATTTTTTAAAGGATATGTAAAAGTGAAACACGACATATAATTTAAGACTCGAGCAGGAGTAAATAGTTTCATTATATTATGTGACTATTTCGTGTAAACCTTAAGTTGTTAAAAATAGAACACTTTTAATAATTTTCTATTATTATCACTCCTCATGCGGGATTGATTCTTTATAATAGGCCAAACACATAAAAATAATTCTTTTGCTTTTTAGGCATGCAGCAGTATTTATTGAATCGTTACGGTAGAGTACTTATTGCTTACTCTGATATCTGATCGTACGATCATCTCATCTAAAAGTTTAAATTATTAATATTCTAACATGAAGTTTTGGTATGTGATCAGGAGAGGCGAAACAGCAGCGGAGACGAAAGAAAAGCAAAGGTGAAGGGAGCAGAAGTGGAGTAATGAGAAAGAGGAAGCTTAGCGAAGAACAAGTTAATCTTCTTGAGCAGAGTTTTGGGAACGAGCATAAACTTGAGACAGAGAGGAAGGACAAGCTTGCTTCTGAGCTTGGCCTTGATCCTCACCAAGTTGCTGTGTGGTTTCAGAATAGGAGAGCACGTTTTAAAAACAAGAAACTGGAGCAGGAATATTCTAAGTTAAAGACTCAGTATGATATTGCTATCGTTGAGAAATGTCGTCTTGAAAATGAGGTAGGTCCATGTCACATTTTTGTATATTTAACATAATACTCTCTGCGTATCAACTGATGTGATACTGTTTTAGTTTTAGTCAATTTCAAACCACAAAATATCTATAGTATTACTTATTTTAGACCATAAAATTCAAAAATAATTAACCACAAGCACATAAATTAGAACGAGAAGAGTAACATATAAACAATGTCTTTCTATCTTGTTTTGTAATTTTCAGATAAATAAAGTGTTAAGATACTGAGGATTTATAAAAGAGTTTAACTTCAATCCATGCATTGCGAAACAAATTGAACTATCAGATCATTAAAAATAACTACAAATAATTATCTTTAATTAAAAAATAGAATAAGTGACTTATGAAAAATATATATTTCTTTCTTTCTCCCTCCGTTCTCGCTTCATTTTATGGAATCTTCTGGTCATTCAGATGAGACATGAACAAACAAGAAGCAAAAGAGCCATGTTTAGTCATATACCTGGACTCTAGGCTCGAGAAGGACCACAATTGTTGCTTGATTCGATAAAGTGAAGATTGTAGAAAAATTCAAACTACAATAATACTCAAGAGATTAGGCAAAACCCAAAATTGATCAGCCGGGTCGAAACTAATTGTATTCGTTAGTCAAAAAAAAAAAAAAATATATATATATATATATATATATATATATATATATTCTTCTTTCACTTCCAATCAAAAGGTTGTGAGTTCGAATCATCCCAAGAGCAAGGTGGGGAATTCTTGGAGGGAGGGAGCCGAGGGTCTATCGGAAACAGGCTCTCAACCCAAGGGTAAGGGTAAGATCTGCATACAAACTACCCTCCCCAGACCTCACTAATGGGATTATACTGGATTGTTGTTGTTGTTGTACTATATATATTACCGACAATCACTTTTGTGAGCGGCTGTCATTTTGTGACCAGCTATAAATATACATTTTTTCTAAAAGATTACTTTACTCTGCTTAAAATGTACCCACTCAAATACTAAATCCCCCATGGTCGCTAAATATACTCTGGATCCTTGTCGGTGAAGCAACACATGCTATCCTTTTCCACTTGACACAGTAAATCTGTTCCTCCTAACTAAGTAACTTTTGGCTCAAAATTTATATTTGTATTAAAAAGTTCACTTAATATATATAAATAAACTATCAAATGCAAAGCAAAAAAAAAAAGTTATAGTTCGAAATCCATAAATTAAAAATTCTGAATCCACCTTTGCCTATTATAATTATCGCTAATTATATCCATATATACCATGGTAGCTTTAGTGAAGGCATTTGAGTTCTTACATATTTCCCTTTTTTTTATGTGTACAAAGCATTCCACGTTCACGAAGAGTTCGGAAAAGGCCGTACCCAAGAGTGATGTAGATAGCCTACCATAATGCAAGTTTTAGTGACTGCTTCTACGGTTTGAACCCATGATCTATGAGTCTTTACATATATATACTCTTTTTTTGCAGGTAATCAAGATGAAGGAGCAGTTATCTGAAGCAGAAAATGAGATACAAAAGCTGCTATTGGAGCGTAATTGTGATGGTGTTTCAAGCAATAGCCCAATTAGTACTTCATCATTCACAATGGATCAGCCACCTTTTCTTGGGGAGTTTGGAATGGAGGGAATGTTAATGGATAATCTCTTCTTTATTGCTGAAAATACTTATAATTATCAAGAGGGATTAGAATGGGTTAACCCTGTATATATATGATATATGATCCCTAATTAATTAGTTTAAATTCTAGAAGCTCCAGAATGTGGATAGTGATCCCACCTTGCTAATGTATGTACAACTTTCTTCTATCCTTGTTTTCTGCTTACTACTAGTACATTAATGTAATAATGCTAGTTGTATATTTAACTGTATGCGTTGCAATCATTACTTAATTTGTGGTCTTAACAATTAATTACCCTAATTTGTTGTATGCTCCATTTGCCTCAAGCTTGTAAAGTTCCTGTAAATTCAATAATTGCTCTTTTAAATAGGTAGATAAAATCAGTTAAGGTATTGGTAAATGGTAATGGTCTTTCTTTCGTGTAAATATAGAGTGGCATGTCAGATTTCAAGAGTAAAACTTCCAAAAAAAATTTATTTATAAATTATATAAAAAGTATCATAAGTCATACTAATTAACAATTTAAAATATTTAAAAAGCATATAAAAAAATCGGTTAAAGAAAAATTCATTTGATCATTCTCGAAATCCGCATCGCATAAATTGGGATAGAGGGTGTAACGACCCGACTTGTCGTTTTAAGAATTAATGCCCCGTTCCGTGACTTAAGGTCTTAAAAAGTTCCGTAATATATATTATGACCCGTGAGTGTGGTCGAGTTTGATTTTCGGAAGATTCGGAATTAAATTGAAAAAATAATTTTTATTTAGAAGCTTAAATGGAAAGAGTTGACCGGAGAGTTGACTTTTGAGCAAATGACCTCGGAATAGAACTTTGATGATTCCAATAGTTTCGTATGATGATTTCGGACTTAGGCATGTGTTCGAATTTCGATTCCGGAAATTTGAGTAACTCCATTACGTCATTTATGACTTGTGTGCAAAATTTGAAGTCATTTCGGATTGATTTGATATATTTCGGCGCAAATATAGAAATTGGAAGATTTGAAAACTCATAATTCGATTCGACGCGCGATTCGTAATTTCGGCATTGTTTGACGTGGTTTGAAACCTCGACTAAGTTCGTATTGTATTTTGGGACATGTTGGTATATTTGATTAAAGTTTCGAGGGCCTCGGGTGGATTCCGAAAGGTTAACGGAGCAAATTTAACTTGAAGGAAGCTGCTGGAAAATGGCAGGAGTTGTTGGAATCGCACCTGCGGAAGTTTGGGCACAGGTGCGACCATCGCAGAAGCGAGATGAAGCTCGCAGATGCGGCCTAGAATGGAATGGGCAGAGGTCACAGGTGCGATGCATTTTTCGCACCTACGTGACCGCAGAAACGGAAGCTCTTCCGCACGTGCGAGAGGGCAGTGGCCAGTAGACGTCGCAGAAGCGAGAATTTGCTCGCAAAAGCGAGTGCACAGTTGCAGCATTTTGCCCGCAGGTGCGAAACTGGACAAAATCATTAAGGACCAAAATTGGTCATTTCGCCATTTTTCGATTTGAGATTTTGGAGCTCGGTTTTTGGATGATTTTGGAGGAGTTCTTCAAGACTTTGACTTGAGTAAGTATTCTATATCCTATAGTGATTATATTTCATGAATCTATGATTATATTCATCGTTTAATTCAGATTTAAATGGAAGAAATTAAGTTTTTTGCAAATTCTTCCAAAAACGCAAATTTACGATTTGGAGGTCGATTTATTATTGGAATTCGATAAAATTGGTATGGTTGAACTCGTATCGGAATGGGTGTTCGGATATCATAAAAATTATGTCGGGTTCCGAGAGGCGGGTCCCGCGTTGACTTTTTGGATAAAATTTTTAAATCGATGTATTATTATTCGGAATTATTTTCGATGAATTTTAATGAAGTTATACAATTAATTTGGATAGATTTGAACGGTCCAGAGGTCAATTCAAGCAAGAAGGCGATTTTGGAATATCGGCATTACTTCAAAAAGGTAAGTATCTTGCCTAACCTCGAGTGGGGGAATTACTCCTTAAGCATCGAGTCTTATGTGTCATTTGTAAAATGTGAAAAGCCGTGTACGCGATATGACGAGTACGTACTCGGTCTTATATGTGCAAATTTTATTGGATTAAAGTCTTAGGCATTTGTGTAGTAAATTGGATAATCGTTGGCATTTATTAAATCATATATTTGCCATGCCTAAATCCTTATTTGTTGAATTTATTTTTATATGACAATTTAATGTGATTGTTATTTGAATATTTATGTAATTTCGTGAGTTTGTTAGTTTGATATTTCTTGGAATTTAATCTCATTATGGATTTTTTTTTTGCAAATAATTAATTAAATGAGCTTAAGAAGATGTGTTTATATAATTATTGAGAATGTGGATTAATGAAGGTGTTTCCCTATGCTGAGTAGTTTCTATCTATGTTGATTGTTTTTGAGGTCTTATACACATTATGTGGCGCCTTCGGCTATTTGTATTTGAAATTAATTGATTTATTATATTCTTTGGAATTGGTTGTGGCTATTGGGCAAATTGTGATATGAATTGATTTTGTTGTGTTGCCGTGATAATTTTTCGTGTAAATTGTTGTGTTTTGTGAGTTGTTATTTTGAGGATATAAGGGTGGCATTCCACTGTTGATATTATGTGGGTATAAGGGTGGTATTTCACTGTTGTTATGTGTGTTGGGATATTGTCTGGGCAGAGAGATAAGGATGGCTATAGGAGAGATAAGGGTGGCTATAGGAGCGATAAGGGTGGCTATTGATATTGTCAGGGCTGAGGGATAAGGGAGGCTACTATAGGAGTGATAAGGGTGGCTATAGGAAAGATAAGGGCGGCTATTGTCCGGGATGATATGTGATGATGTGGAGTTATTGTGTTGGTGATTTTCATGTGATGTTGTGATTTTTCTTGTGTTTATTTTTATACATTGTGCAATTTATCTTGTTGTTGGTAAATTGATAACAATCTGATTTATGTTGAAATTGGGAGCGTGTGACTATTTTCAGGTGGATTATAAAATAAAATGTGCGTACGAGGTACCGTGAGTAAATAATGAGGATATTGGCACGTGAATTGTAAGTGCAATTGTGATATGAAATGTGGGAACGAGGTGTTGTAGTTAAATGATAATGATATTTGGTACGTGAGTTGTCCGTGCGGTTGTGATATAGAAATTTGCATGAGGTGCCGTGGAATATGAAATTGGGCTGAGACCCGTACTTTATGATTTTTGAAATTAGGTGTCATAGGGTGACTTTTATTCGAAAGATATTTATTTGAAAGAATTTTATTCAAAGGATATATATATTTGAAGGAATTTTATTGGAAAGATATTTATTGAAAGAATTATATTTGAAAAAGATTTATTTGCAAGAATTATATTTGAAAGGTATTTATTTTAAGGGAGTATATTCGAGATATATTTATTAAATGGTATTATATCCTGAAGAGTATTATTTGAGAAGCATATAGGCGAAAGATTTATATTTGAAGGGCTTGATTTAATTGGGTGTATTTGTAATTATTATTTATTGAGCAATATTAATGGTGTTCTTGTTGCCCTGTTGTGCATATCACTGGTTGATTTGTGTTGCCCTTGTTGTTATTTATTTCCTATTATTTTGTATACTATATTTCACAGGTTATTAGACTAGTGAGTGTCTTGACTGTACCTCGTCTCTACTCCACTGAGGTTAGTCTTGATACTTATTGGGCACCGACCGTGGTGTACTCATACTACACTTCTACACATATTTGTGCAGAGCCAGGTATTGGAGATATCGGATTCGGACAGAATTAAAGTGTAATCGCAAGGATTCAAGGTAGAGCTGCTTGGTCGTCGCAGTTCCTTGGAGTCTTTCCATTTTATTGTACCGTTAATTATTATTCAAACAGTATTGTGTATTCGATCCTTGAGATCATTTCATGTATTCAGTTAGAGTTCGTGACACAGTATTACCAGTCTTGGGAGATTTTCATATTTGTTTCCGCTGGTAGTTTTGATTACTTATAAAAATAAATGGCTTGAAATGTGATTGAAATCGGCTTACCTAGTCTTAGGGATTAGGTGCCATCACGACGCCTGAGGTGGGATTTTGGGTCGTGAAAAGTTGGTATCACAACTCTAGGTTCATAGGTTCTACGAGTCACGAATGAGTCTAGTAGAGTCTTGCGGATCGGAACGGAGACGTCTGTACTTATCTTCGAGAGACTACAGAACTGTTAGGAAATTTTCACTTCTTTCATTCCCTGCCTTATAAAAGGCTTATGGATGAAATTTCTAAGGAGTATTTGAGCCTTTGTATCTCTATTCTCTCAAAGATGGTGAGGACACGTGCTACCTGGTCAGCTGAGCAGACACCCGCGCACACTGTTAGGGCCGCAAGAGGCCGGGACCACAACAGGCCGGGGCCGAATTTGGATTTGGAAGTCCATAGGACAATTCGACACATTTTGGCGAAACTTGGAAAATAGAAGATTTTGGAAAGTTCGACCGAAGGTGAAATTTTTTATAACGAGGTCGGGTTTCGATTCCGGAAATTTGAGTAGCTCCATTACGTCATTTATGACTTGTGTATAAATTTTGAAGCCATTCCGGATTGATTTGATACGTTTCGGCGCAAATATAGAAATTGGAAGATTTAAAAACTCATAATTCGATTCAATGCGCGATTCGTAATTTCGGCATTGTTTGACATAGTTTGATGCCTCGACTAAGTTCATATTGTATTTTGGGACATGCTGGTATATTTGGTTAAAGTCCCGAGGGCCTCGGGTGGATAACGGAAGGTTAACGGAGCAAATTGGACTTGAAGGAAGCTACTGGAAAATGGCAGCAACTGTTGGAATCGCACCTACGGAAATTTAGGCGCAGGTGCGACCATCGCAGAAGCGAGATGAAGCTCGCAGATGTGGCCTGGACTGGAATGGGCAGAGGTCGTAGGTGCGATGCATTTTCCGCACCTGCGTGACCGCAGAAGCGGAAGCTCTTCCGCAGGTGCGAGAGGGCAGTGGCCAGGGGACATCGTAGAAGCGAGAATTTGCTCGCAAAAGCGAGTGCGCAGATGCGGCATATTGCCCGTTGGTGCGAAACTAGACAGAATCATTAAGGACCAAAATTGGTCATTTCGCCATTTTTCGATTTGAGATTTTGGAGCTCGATTTTTGGGCGATTTTGGAAGAGTTCTTCAAGACTTTGACTTAGGTAAGTGTTCTATTTCCTAAAGTGATTATATTTCATGAATCTATGATTATATTCATCGTTTAATTCG